TTTTTCTTGGAAAAAATGCTTGCTTTTAGAATAAAAAAGACCATAATTCATAAAATAGCCCTTCTTAATTACTAGTATATAATGAACATGCGTACAGGTACATAGACATGAATAATTACAATGATTTTATTATTGCTGTTTTTCTTCATTCCAATTCATTCAGTTTTTTCAGGACCAGTGCGTATCAGGTTGCAAGACTAAGCTAAATGAAGTGTTGACATAGCATTAGGACATTTTTATAAAATAAATTAATTGTTCATTTATCTAATATGTGAGTGTTCACTTACTTTTAGTAGTAGTAAGTCAGTATGGCCCTTTGGAACAAAATATGTTACCTCCCCCTGTTCTAATGGCATTTCAGTCCATTTGATATGCACCATCAGGTTGCCCACATTATCTTAAATGGGCATGTCGTTACCTTACATTGTGGCGGTGTGGATAATGCATCGCAGGTTAAAATGCTATTTCTAGACACAACTAGCACTGGTTGTCATAAAAGAGAGAAATGCAAGAAAAGCTGTCCAATAATTGAAGGATTGATGGGTTTTTTTCCTCCAATGAGGCATACCAAGACAAAAGAAAGGAAAATTGATTTCCTGTGCAAAACATCAGTACTACAGCAGACAACGTATACACAAGCGAATAGCTGCACATTTTCAACCCATTTCTGTGTGTTTATGTCATCATAGTAAATCTAGTAGCTTGGTCGTGTTATTCTGTGTTGTGGACATATTTCTATGATTTTCAGACAAATGTAAAATCATCCAAGCCTTTATTTTGTTGGCCCTCTGTGGGAGATGAGGTGCTTTATTACGGAGATAAGCACACAGGCTGAGGGACAACTACAGGAAATAAAAGATTTAGTTACTTGCGAAGTACCGATCAGTTCTTGTGAAGTTGGTATGATTAATCAAAGGCTGTGAATTGTTTCAGAGGGCGATTTGGTTTGTGAATTTCCAGGCTGCTGTTTCCCTGTTGTGCAGAAAAAAGATGAATAGACCTATCGAGGCTATTATGGGGTATCTTCCTTTTCCATCACTATAGGGGGCCAGTTGACTCTGATTATTCGTTTTTCACGGAGGGGATTCTCTAATCCCTCCTAGAGACGGGTGTGTGGCCTCGTACATGTGTCAAGGAGTTACCTGTGGTTAACTGTGAGTAACAATCCATTCATACGCAGCATAAACACATGCATCGAGGCAGCAAATTTAACAGCATTTTGAAAACACTCACCAGCTTGTGCTGCACTGCTTCCTACACTTTTTCATGTTGCCTTTCTGCTGTACAGAAATGTCCAGTGTCTCAGCAAGGCCGTTCACATCAAACCGTGTTTAGAACACTTTCTTTCCAGTTTTTGTTTGTTCTAAGGTTTAAATATTGCAAACTTTATGGATCTTTTTTAAAATGTTAGATATTGCAAATGTGAAACTTCTTTCTTCTAGCTTCTGTGTTTCATTCATAATCATTAGTGTGCAAATTTGCCCAAGATAGCATCTAAAGCCAGCGTACTATAGAATGAAGTATGTGGGAAGTGATGAATGCTGATAATGACAAATATGATAGGGGGAAGTGTGTGCCTTAAGAATGATGAATGCCATTTGTTTGTGGTCCCCACGGAGGACTTCAAAAACAGCTTTTTGTTGGAACTCCACACATTAAGAAATCCCTTATTTTGCCAAATTAAAATAGCTGTCATTATTCTTCGTAAGTCTGGGGTAATGTTATTCTTGTGCTGACAGAGCAGCTAACCCAATTCTCCATCCTCATTGTGCATTTTCTCCTTGGCCTTGATTTTGCGTTGCGGTTACCGTTATTGTGGTTAATGGTTTGCTCAGATCTTCAGCGGTTTTGCTGTTTCTCATCATACGTATATATTACACCGCCTATAGGTCCAAATGCCACTCTGATGTGTTTACAATTACATTCCTGTGTAATCATATGTTAAGTCATCTTGCAGTGTGATCAGCTGCAGTGCAGAGAAAGCTTCTGACCAAACTCATACTCAAACTTGACTAAAGTCTTTGTGTGCATCTTGCAGACAAAATCTGCCAACACACGGATCACAAATGCCTTTGTGGTTCTTTCCTGCTACAGTAGATGTCTGCATGGACACATTTTTCCAAGATTGCACGCTCAGACAGGCTCTCACGGCCTGGATGAAAACAAGCTGAAAGCATTAATAGCTCCACTACAGTAGCTTTCATTTGCCTGACTTTCTTTTATAAGCCGATCTCTTAGTTTGGCTGACAGTGGACTGCGTGTCTCTTGGTTTCTTCTAATGTGCAAAACTTTTTGGTT